CTCTCTGTTTATTTGTAGTTGGCCGGTACAGAGAAAGAAGAGACTTCACAGAAGTCTTTGAATAACTATTGGGTGAGATTTTGGTTCCTCTTTTTTGCCTCTAATCCTTATCTACTCCCACACACTAGCAAACGCACATATTAAAGAATGTGTGTATGTCTACATATATATTTATATATATGAATGTGCAGTTGTAAATATTTTTATATAGGCATGTAGATCTTTTTTTGCCATTTTTATATTATATATATTGTGATTTTTATGCCATCTGGGATTGAGATATCTGTGTATGCATGAACTTGTCTGTACGTCGTGCATCATTCTAGCCAGTTTTTTTTTTTTTTTTTTTTTTTTTTTGTAATCACATTTCGTGGACCGTGAATGTAGCACGATATACCATCATGCATCACTCCCCCTCCAGGAAATGCCAGTTGTCATTTGAATCGGTGTTGAATTTTTTGCTTTTGCTTTTCTTTTGGGAACAATTACCTTACTGTCGCGTTGACCTATTTTATCTTGACCTCTCTTTTTTTGTGCATTATTAACAGTGATAGGCTAATTGGTAGTTTTAGTAATTAACACATTGCAGTATTGGTGCAATATTGTCTACATGCATGTCTCTGAAATTACCAGCTTTGATGCGGGTCTGAATTTTACTCAGTGATCTTATATATTTTTCTTTTATGTCATTTCATTCAGTGCTAAAATGTCTCCTTTTGTCTAATTTTAAATATTTGTTAATCTAGAAACAGGGCAATTCATGTGGTAATTATATATGAATGGAGTAATTGAAAACACTTCAGTTTTAGTCCAATAATCAAGTTTGTAGATGATAAAAAAAAAACATGATTGATTGGTTATAATAGATGAACCCACCTGGACTTTGACCTCCTGGCAATCTTGGCTTCTCTTTCGGAAGCAAAATCGAGAACAACAAAAAAAATGGTTCCTTCAAAATAAAGCAATCTACCGTATTTGTGTGTGGATTATTGTAAAATTATGAAGCAATGGGATATATAATCTGATGGGATTCCAGTCTTAATTACTGCATAGTGCATGAAATGGAACTGTCACCAGCACCATGTGATATTGTTGACAGCACACATACGTAGTCTGCATGGTTAATTAGACTATTCCTCAGGAAGAGGATATTTGATTGGTTGCATGACATGAGAGCACATACCTGATTGGTCACTTGATTTGGAAAAACTCGTTGCAATTGGTTGAGTAGTGGGCAGTTGTCACACGATAAGGCAGATGTTTCTTTGTTGGCTGCATTTTTTTTTTTTTCTTTTTTAACGTTGCTTAATGTAAATGGCTGTTTTTTTTTAAGCAAGATCAAAATGAATTTTTTCATTGACTGAAAAAGTCAATTTCTGGAAAGTTGATAGGGGGATTTGCATTTCTTCTCGTGTAAGATAATTGTGCTGTTGGTGCCAACAGGTTTTGGATAATTTTTGATTCAATCTGTACCTTAAAACATGGAATTTGTCAGTATATGTGGTGTAGCTCATACCAAAGTGAGAAAGCAAGGGAAGAAAATCTTGGTATTTGTTGGGAACCTTGTAGAAATTGACTAATTTGCCTCTTTATATATTATGCTTATAATTTGGCTGGGGGTGGGGGAAGGTGGCTTATACTCTTGTCTTGTCTCGCTTGCAGTCCATACTGTGTCTGCCTGCATGGGTAGAGGATTTTCAGAGACCAATTTTTTTTTTTTTTTCAGAAATATTAATTTGTTGATAAAAAATAAAAGTTGATTTTTTAAGTCACTATATTTCTCCTACTAACTTGCTTATATATATATATATATATATATATATATATATATATATATATATATATATCGTTCATTGTTGTTCTTAGTAAAAGGTTTTAGGCATTCATTGTTAATTCCTTCATATCTTTTTGAAAACCTAGATGTTCATTAGGGAAATGGTATTCTATTTTCCAAAGTGAAAATTACACTTGTTGCATTCAGATTGTAGTCCAGGGATTTGTTTATAGAGCAGCAGTTTTTGTGCCAATACAACAATGACTCAATTTTTTTTCAATGGACAAATATTATCATTTAGATACATAATTTTGGATTCTTAAGAATTCTATTTCTATGTAGCATTTGTGGTGTTTTTACTTCATAGGATAGAACTCTATGGTAGCCTGCTTTTCAATATTGTAGCTACCACCACTAGTGGGCTTGATTTAGTCTTAAAGTGCAATTTAAGAACACAAATAGTCTAACATGATCTTAAAACATGAGTAAGACCATTTCTAGTCTGACAGCCAATTAAGTTGTCTCCCCTCACACATCCTCCTATTGTGAACAGAGGTGTCCTCTATTGTGAGGGGAGGTATCCCCCATTGTGAGGGGAGGTAACTGCTTGACCACCTAAGTAAATGTTAGATTATTTTTGATCTTAAAAGCAGATTCAGTCCATTTTAAGACTACTGCTTTAATGATTAAGATCGTGTAAGATCATTTGTGAACTTAAATTGCACTTTAAGACCAAACCTAGCCCACTAGTGCACTCAATAGGGATCATCATTTTTAGAATTGATGACTTTAAAAGTTACAGTATCTGTAGAATTTTACAGTTTTCCTCCCATTGAAAAGAGTCATTACTGTAGAAAGTTGGGGTTTTCAGCTTTTAAAGAACATGCTTCATATATGGAACAGGAGCCATTTTGAGTTATGTCCTATTTTCATCTTCCATTTTGTTTTCACAGGTCAAGATGGATGAACTAGAAGAGCACAAAATTGCCACGTGGAGAGGTAGGTGTCGGCCTTGGTACCCTCTCCCACCTTACACACCTCACTTCAGGAAACTAGGGCTTGATTGCAGTTCCCCAATACCACCATGTTCTTTACTGGATTTTGTATCCGATTCACAGTTGATTGCAATGAAATTTGCTTCCTGATGAACACGCACAAACACACACATACACACGCACACACACACATGCACATTCCTGTCTCATTATCAGATAAAGTTGCATTCAAGTGGCATGAATAGGATCGATATACACATATATTGCAATATTATTTGTATGCCCTTGCAGATGCACTCCAAGACCGGCACAAACCACTGGTGACCATTACGCCCGATGAGAGTCTGTTTGACGCCATAAAGGCACTGATCAGCCATCGAGTTCATCGTCTGCCTGTTGTGGAGGCGAATACAGGAAACGCTCTATACATTCTCACACACAAGAGGATACTACGATTTCTCTCAATTTTTGTAAGTGTTTAAATGGGGTTTTTTTTATCATTTATTTATTTATCTTTTTGTTGACATAACAAATGAAACCCACTTATATTTTAATATTCCAGTATCAAGAGAAAGTATTTCATCGGTATTTTGTCTCTGAATTAATTGCTATTTAGGTATGATGTTTATGTCTTAGCATTAAATGTTATTTATGACTGGTTTTGTTGTGGTATTAAATGGAATTTATATCTGATGTTGAAAATTAATGATATTTATGCCCCGTGTTGTAGTATTCCGACATTCTTCAACCTGGATGGATGAGGAGGTCACTCGGTGAGCTCAAAATAGGAACCTACGAAAACATAGCAACCGTGAGTACTGTTTTTGGGTTTGTTATTTAAATCATTATTATATTCTGTGGCACTTAAATTTATCACAGTGACTCAGACCTATAACTGCATCTGTTGGTTATTATTGTTAATGATGGTTTAAAACTGGCCTCACTAAAATGTGTATCTTCAGTCAGAGGGCATGGTATTGCTAGGCCTTAAGGTTTAATGCTAGGCCTTAATGATATGAGTTTCTTCATTCCTGCCAAATATTTCAGGCTACTTATGAAACCCCTATCATCAAGGCCTTGAACACGTTCGTGGAGCGGCGGGTCTCGGCGTTGCCTGTGGTAGACAAGGACGGCAAAGTGATAGACATATATGCAAAGTTTGATGTCATTGTGAGTAGATCTTCTTTTGAATGATTTTATGTGGTACAGATTAATATTCAATTGGTGTGCCGCTATCCTTAACTGCCTATTTCACTTGATGCAAGAAATAGACCTGGTTGCATTATTGGGTAATTTCTTTCCTTGTTAATTGAGTATGGTGATGGAAGTTTTCAAAGGTGTTTCCTGGCATTTGAATTTTATTATTGTCAATAACACATTAGTCCTAAATGAATGAATCTCTTTTGATTTGACCTTCCTTGCTGTATTGACTTACTGTTCATGTTGTTGATTGTGCCTGTTTCAGAACCTGGCAGCAGAGAAGTCATATAACAATTTAGAAGTCTCCATAGCAGATGCTTTGAAACATAGAAAGACGGTAAGAGACTTTATGTCTACTACTGAAACTTAGAAAAAAAAACATTTGCCATTGTAGATTTTTAGCGGGATACTTATGGAATGTGTTCTATAGAAAAGACAATTGTGGTAAGGAAATAATCATAAATTACAGTAAGGGCATAATGATTAGGCTGAAACATACTGACCTCATTTCTTTGTAAACTCCACTATGATTTTAAATAATAATGCCATCTTTATGTAATGCTTATGTTGTAATGCTGGATAACAGCTGTAGATGTAGGTGTTTTATGAACACAAGGGACATGTTGACTAAGAAAAAGAAAATTGTGTTTTTAGAAAATTATCATATAAAGCACCTTGTGTATGTGTTCGTGCATGCACATTCATACACTTAATCTTACGAAAACCTGTCTTTCACAGCCTCACAGCCCCAACAACAAGCACGTGTACACGTGTATGCCCAGCGAGAGTCTGACCACGATCATAGAGAGGGTCGTCAAGGCGGAGGTTCACCGGCTAATTGTTGTTGATGATGATGAAAAATGTGTAGGTGTTGTGTCGCTGTCAGACATCTTGGATTATCTGGTACTCAGGCCTACGGGTATAGGAAAGTATGGTAAGTTTTTTTCAACCGTGATGTGTTATTTTAACACATTGAAATGCATGATTTATATCAGTGTATTTTTTATCTATAAAACCACCATTGTCCTTATGAAGAGCCTGCTTAAAGAGGGTACTTCCAAGTTATTTATGTGATCAATTGAAACAAATGATGTGATCATACTTGACAGATGATAACTATATTGCAAGGATTTTATTACAATTAACACTAAAAAAAAAAAGAAAAAAAAAAAAACTCCTGAATCTAATCCAGACTCCAATTATTTGTCCATTTCAGCGGAGAAGAACGGCCTTACCAAGACAGCCCCAAGTGGTAGCAGCGACCAGAGCGCAGACACCAACCTTGACCAACTGCCCAGTGACCCTATGATGACGGCCCAGGCATGACGCTGACCCCAGGGGGGGTCAGACAGGCCTGGCTGTGAGGGGTTTACAACCATTTAAACCACACACTAACACATACATTTATGTACTAGGGGAGTTGGCGCTGAAGAGGAAGCGACTTTATGGCAATTTGTGGTGACTGGTGAACACCAGGGGATCGGACGAGAGATTTTAATTTACGCTGGGTGCAAGCGACCCAATTAAACACCACACAGACAGTGGGTGATTACATACCAGATGAGACGAGGATGAATGCTCTTGATCTGCAAATGAATGTTTTCTGGCATCTGAAATTGAACAATTTAGTCCGTGAAACATCCCAGTGCACACACTACCTGCAAAATATGACAGGGTTTAATGACATTCTGCAGGATAGCTAGTGATGGTAGAGACCACGTTTCATTTTACATAACCAAACACTGTGTTATAGAATGAATTGGAGGAGATGAGGAATGTACGGAATGACAGGAGGTCATACGTAAAAAAAGCACCTTCATTGGCACAGCTTACCAGATGGAAGATTTAAGCGTGCCTATATTCAGGATTCAGAAGGAAAGACAAATGGGTTGTGACAGTTTAATTAACGCAGTGAGTTTGGTGGAAATAAAGCATGGCATATGGTCTCCAAATAGGAAACATTTAGGAAGGCATCTGCACACCGTGGAAAGTTGTGTCAGTAAAATTGGAATACTGTCTGCCAGTAAAATTCTTCAATAAAACATTGGAAGGACACTTGTGAATCAATGTCAAACTGATAATGCTGTGGCAGGCAAAATTTTTAAGTGGTCCGCCATTGGATTTAAATAATTGATAACATGGGCAGTTTGTAGTTTTTGAAATAGACGTTTCTATGAATGTGATTGGAATTGGTGAAATGCAGGTCCAAGTGTGGCCTGTTATCAGGTCTGAACACTCGGCATGGAAGTTTGTCACCTGCAAGCGAGATGCACGAAAATTCTTACCATGTTTGTGCAGTTTGGTTGGTATACAAAGCTGGCCTGCAACAATGCACCTTAGTGGAAGGTGTTGCCATGACAACAGCAACCACGGTAACAGTAAAATCCTCAGTAACAGTAAAATCCTGTAGTTCCTGTTGACAGGAGGTGCTCACTTTAAACAAGGTCTGTTTACCTGTTTGGAGACAGTAAATGACTGTGTTAATAGTGATAATTAATAGACAAAATGAATGAAAAAAAAAACATGGGATAGAAAAATGATGGGTGTGGTTTCAGCTTCCTAAACATGACTTTGTCAGCTGAACATGCCACATATACGAACATTTTCAAACCAGTCTCTGAAATGGGGCCTTTGACATTGATATTACCGTAGCAATCATTAGCATGATAATGGTTATAGAATCAATGGAAAGACATAGCTGTTGCCATGGGAATTGTTTCCGAGGGCACTGCAACCAAGGCAACAGAAGTGCCACACCATTCTGAGATCAGGGATAAGAACTGTTCTGACTATTGGCAGTTTTCCGCACTTTGGGAGCCCAAAATATCAATGACCTAAGTGGGGCCCCTGGACCCCTGGCCATATTTTTCCCCTGTTAAATGTGAGAAGCATGGATGTCTCATGCACTTATAAATGGAGAAGTATTTTCATTCGTGTTGCCATAGAATGGCATAATAAAATGTAAAAAAAATATATACATATATAATCACAACCAGTAGAGATACCATTTCTTTCATTGATAATTCTGTGTACACAGCAGCTTCGTTGCCAGCAGCTACCACCACTGATTGGACTGCAGTTGGATCTGTACAAAGCAAGAGGCCTGTCTTGCAAGTCAGTGTCATCTGGAGGTTATTTGGACTGTTCTGTTCCATGCCTAGTTGATCTGCCAAACTCATCATGCCTTGCTGTTCACCCATGGATTGTTTTTTTCACAGCTGTATGCACTTTTGAGCTCGAAAAATGATGTAAAAAAGGACATATTGACAAACTTGATTCTCCTGAAAGAGGGAAAAGATCAGATAATCTTTTGCCATACCTGAGCAGGATTTATGCACTGATGGATAATTTAGATATTTTACAAAAGGGCTCAGTTTCATCCGCAAGATAATAGTGTCCAATGGGGAGTGTTATCCTTAGGAGGAGGGTGCTATTCAGTGTTGATGAAACTGGGCCCTGATATTTTAAATAGTAAAATTGTACCAGTTTGGAAAAAAAAACTTAAAGAATAACAGAAAGTTGAAACTCAGACATAGATCTCACTGTTCAGGAGGTAGGGGACTAATCTGCCCAAAGACTCCAGTTAGTTTGATTGTATTCTAGATTATTCCCGTTTACATAAAATGCGGTCTTTTACAGACGTTTCCAAGTGTCATTCAGTTAACATGTAACAATGTGTTGATTTTGACCTACAAAGGGAAAAAATGTCCCGCGTTTTAAATGGAGGATGTGAAGACGGACAATGTTTAGTTATGTGTTGCGAGAACGAGGGCTCGGGCTTAAGATTTTCTGGAACTGACACGTGTTGAAAGGGAAAGCTGTTCTGCACGATAAAATAATATTTGGCAAGTACCAGGACAGGTTCTAGAAAAGGATGCATGTGGCGTGCATTAGATGACTTTGATCACCAGAGTTCTGCCACTAGTTATCTTGTCCTCCCCCCACCCCTTCACACCCCCAATTCCCACTCCCCAAATCCCCAGTGGAGTAAATCTGTTGCCTATATGTTGCTGGGTTAGACATAATTTGATTGTGTAACACCCTAAGTGTGTTCATGCTTGTGGGGGTTGGTGGCTACTGCAAAGCAGTCGTATACATATATATAAATATATAAATAACATACCAGAAATGAAGCTGTACATAATATAAATATATACATATAAATATTGAAGTGCTCTCCTGGGTGAAGGGGTTGCATTTAAGGAGTTAAGAAAAAAATCCATAAAAACCTTTTTTTTTTTTTTTTTTTTTTTTTTTTTTTTTTCAGTGAAAAGTACTAAGGTCAAGATTATTTCATGTACAAGTAGCTTCAATGACAAAATGCATGTAGGTTTTTGTGATTTGAGTTTAATGTTAATTACAATTTGTGTGTTTAAACAGACCAATTGAGCTTTCATTCGTTTATTTTTTGCAACTATTTTTTTCAATGAAAAGCGCTGCTGATGATGTCTTCAAATCTAAGTCACCAGCGTTTACCAGTAGAGTAGTAGATGGCTCGAAGAGTGATAGGTGATTTTTTAAGTGAAGCACAAACTGTGTAATTTGTCTTTGAAAGCTGTGATTTCCTTTCTCTGCCAGTAGCATAATATCCACGACGCTTCGACTCTGTGAAAGTGGGGATTCAATGCCTTGGTCGACAGCTTGCAGTCAAGGGGTTTTGGCAGCTGCTCTGGTTTGAGTCGGGAGTTTGCTTTACCTTGTTGTGCAAGGCATGGTGTTCAAGTCGTTTTTTAGAATACAGGGGTGTGATTTTTAACCCGACGTTTCCCCTGAATTTTCCACCTTCCTCCTTGCACGAAGTCGTTGAAGAGGTTGTCGACTGAATTTTGTTCTATATGTTGAAAAACGTGAAGTGTCGTGGGGTAGGCAGAGTTTTTCCCTCTAGCTGAAGTCTTTGCTACTCCATCTCTGTATCTGGCGGTATTAGGCATGTTATCGTCATGGCTTTTGACGCCCCAATTACACATAGTGAGTAGAAGCACGTGGGGGATCGATTTGACTTAGCTTTTAGTGCTGTTGACGTCATGTCCCACGTGACTGTTGACTTAGTTATATTTGACCAATCGGATCTGTTGATTCATCTCGGGCAAACCTTCAAAACCTACCCTCGGGAATTAATATTGCTTCCACAAGCTACAGTAGACGTAGAGGAAGTCCGTTTTATGTGCCTACGAAAATAAGGAATATATATTACAGGAAAAGACACCTTTTATTATTAATTTTTTTTTTTTTTTTTTTGGGGGGGGGGGGAGGCGCAGAGCATAATGTTTGATTAAGAGGAGGTATGAGATATTAGTAGAAATCATTACGTGTTGACAAATTGGTTGTTTCATCCCCCACCCCACAGACTGAATGCATGGTCAAGTTTATAAAATGACTTGGACAGTTATATATCTGAATTGTTTTGAGAAATATGTACGATGAATGAAAAATTGTCGATTTGACATAACTGCCATGGCGTCCCGAGCGTCAGATGGTCGAGGACGAGCTTGGTCACTGTGCCAGCCTCTGAATTGCGCTGAACGTGTTGATTTATTCAAGTGCTCGACATCCTCCTTAGTGCCTCTTCCATTCCTTCATTTGCCATATATACACGTTATTTCAAATGCACTAAACTGAACAGCAGTTAATTTGTGATTTGACTTTGTATGTATTGATTCAGTGTCAAAATCATTGGTTGTTAATATTAGCGAAGTGAGAACATGCAGTTCGATTGAATTTAATGCGACTCGGCGAGTATGATGTCTATGTATTGGTGTTCATTGAATTGAATTCAAACAATGGCCTTATTACGTCATATACCTTGAAGATATCACCTGACATGGTAGGGCCAACGTTATTCCCACACCCCTGCCTAAGCCCGAAACGCGTTCAATGAGTTATAAAAAAAGTGGACTCCCGTGTCACCGAATAAAAGATTTATGGTCGTGTGGAGTCCCGATGTGAGACGTTAAAAGGGTGGCGCTATACACTAGGTGGGTGTGGAATTGGGAGTTGTGAATTGCTAACATGCTATAGCTATACATATTGTACAAAATGACGACTTCTATTACAACAAGTATGATGAAAAAAATAAAAGTTGTGGTAAACAACTTATTCCAATTGTGTTGTCTTCATTTAATGAAAAAGTTGGTACAGCGTACTTAAAAAAAAATNATGAAGTGTTGAGTTGGTAACATTCCGCCTTTACATGGCCTACTTTACCACCATAAAAACATTTTATCAGTCCGTCCGCCGTCCACCCCTTACTGTCCTTCGACGATTGTGTCGATTTGCGTGGGTGCTGTCTTGTGTTGGATGACGTCATCGGTGGCTCGCGTTGAGCTGCGCTTTTCAACGCGGATAAGATCGACTCTTTTAGTTCTGTAGCCCATCGTGGTACTTGATCCACAGGTTGTGTCGCCCCGATTTCCATTGGCTCCTCTATGCGGCGTTGAGTGTTGCTATTACGGTCTCCGTAGACGGTCTGGAATAGGAGATCACCCACCTCTTCATTGTCCACGTATCTCATAGCTTCTTGCAACGTCGACGGTCGTCCCTTCCGTATCATGTCTCTAGCGAGGCGAATCTCATGCAGGCCCCGCGTATAAGCCTTAATTAACAGGCGTTCCGCTTCCTCGGATCGGGGAAGTGGGTATGCTTTACGCGCCACGTCTCTAAAGCGACGATTATAGGACGCCGTGTTCTCAAATTGGGATTGTTTTATTCGTTCCAATTCGGCTCGAATACAACTAGTTTCATCGGCGGAAAGAAAGACCCGTCGAATATGGTTTCTTAGCACTGTCCAGTCCGTTCCAAAATACTCTGGCTGTTGATTTAAGAAATAATCTATCTCACCTGCCATTGACCCTTGTGCCGTCTGCAGTGCCAGTTTGATTGTGGCGTGTTCAATTTCCTCCGTCCGGGGAATTGTTCGTTCAATTTGGTCAATCCAGTCTCTTGTGTCGTCTGGAATGGACCCATCACAGGGTTTAATCGCCCGGCACAGGACATCCAATTTTGTCTGGTGCTCACCCTCTATTTTCATGCGTTCTATTCTCGCATTTCGAGCGTCCTCCGCTCGCCATCGCTCTTGCATCAAATTTCTCCATTGTCCATCCTCTTGGTGCGCCTGCACCGTTGTTTTTGCTAAAGCTGCAACTCCGGCGGACAGTTGCTGAAGAGAATCTGGATTCATTTTGTTAGATCGCTAAAAATTAAGTCCTGAAAAGAGCTCGCCAATTGTTAAGTCTCAATCTTCGTCGGTTAGACTTTACGAGAAAATAATGTCACGTTAGATAACGCGCCGGTTCTTGGGCCTTAGTGTTGTGCGCCCAGCTGATCCAGTAAAACGAACAAGATTCTCATTTGATGCAAGTGGAAATTTAATACTGTCTTTTGGAAAATATACAGAGGTTTCTTCTACATAGTAACTGTCAGTCCAAAATGTATAATGATATCGCCAGAGCCAAAATACGATATGATTTCACCTTAAAACAGGGCAGCCTTTATAGATCATTCAGGAATTTTAATAACCAGGAAG